ACCCCAATGTAATGATATAAGCCCCGCAATCATTGATCAAGAAGTGAGAATGTGCCAACCTCCAGCCCTTCATTTCTCCTCAGCAGATATCCATGAACAACACGTTCTGTTCTTTCCACTTACAGAAGGGGAAACTGAGGCTCAAAGAGTGACCTTCGCAGATGGAGATGGCAGGGTGAGGTACTGTGTCTGGAGACAAGGCCGGTGCCCACCCCACCCCCCATCCTGTCTTCCCACTCCTTGGAGAGCTCAGAACCCAGCCAGGCTGTCTCTGCCGCCAGTTCTCTGTGGGGACCAGAGACAGGGGCTGCTCGGAGGGCTTCAGTATGGGGGAGGCCTGAGAAAGGGATCTGAGCTGTGGGAACAGCCGAGTCGGCAGCCCCGGATGAATGTCCATGCCAGCTGAGGTACACATCCGGGCATTTCTGTGCCCTGGTGAATGGGCCCCGGAACAGCCAGGTCCAGGGAGCCAGCAAGGCGGGAAGTGGCTGCCAGGCCTCTGGCACCAGCCCCAGGCTGTGCGCGCCGGGGCCAGCTCCACTGGCCGCCTGTCAAGGCTTCAAAGGGGTGGGCAAGACAAGCGGGGGGACTGGGCTGGACGGGTCTGCCTGAAACTGAGATGGGAGAACAAAAGGAGGCCGTTGTGGGCTGGTTTGGCGGGAGCCCTTGGCGGGAACCCTTGGCGGGACAGAGGGCGGGAAGGGAAGTGGCAGAGGGAGGGCTGTGGTGAGTCAGGCAAGATGCAGGCCACATGGGCAGACAGCAGGAGGTCCGAGGTGTGACTCCTGCACCCCGGCACCTGAGGCCCAGGTGATGGCTAACAAGGGCAACCACGTGCCTGTGAGCAGCCCGAAGCAATTGATTGCCTTCTGTGCATTCAGAGATCCATCACCCATTTTCTACTCATCCCTGGCTAACCAGACAACGATCCCAAGCCAGCCTGGTTATCCTGAGGACCAGGCCTGAGTCAGATGGGGCCCCTGCTAGGTGGCAGGAACTGGCACTCTGGTTATGGGGTGCATGCCACTCCCCCATGACCTGGGGAGGTGATGAAGAGAAAGGGCAAAATTTGTTACATCATAAGAGTTGGAGAACCCCACATGCAGGCTGCAGACAATTCCTGGGCACTCCTTGGACACCCTCACCTCCCTGGGGCCTGTGACAGTGCTGTTCCCTGCATCCTGCCCCAGCACAAATGCTGTGTTACTGGCTGCTGTCAAGCATCAGCACACTGGTGGGGGGGAGGTGTAACCCACAATACAGGACCCCCAACCCCCTGCCAAATGCTCTTCTAACTGCATCTTGCCAGCTCCCAAGGGACTGGCTACCAGGCGGAATGTCAGTGCCTGCCCATGTGAGCCTGACCTCGGGGCCACTGTCAGTGCTGCTTGGGGACATGTGGGGAGGACCATCACCGGACTTGGGCGACAACAAGCAGGATGGGGACAGATCCCACCAACTAGAAGCTCCAATCGACATCCATCGACACAGACACACTCACCCCGGCGCCTGCCTCCGAAGCCCGGTGTTCCTCCTGGAGATGACACCACATATACAGGGACCTGGTTGGGGGTGACTGAGCACAGCAGCTTGTGATCAAGGGCCACATATGTGACCTATAGGCAGCTGGAGGTGATGGAATCAGAGGGAGGGACCAGGAACAGCAGCACAAGAAAGGAGCCTGGCAGCCCATCTTGGGGTGCAGGGACCCCGATCTCACCTTTGCATGGGAATCATATCCCCCGGGGCATCTTCTCATTTGGTAAAGGAAGGGGCTGGAGCAGAGGAACCACAGGCTTCTCTTGCTACACACATGTCCATGAGGTTGCACCAGAGCCATTTGGGGGTGCTATAGGACATCTGAGCTTGTCCCTCAAAAGGATCCGAGCATCCAGAGCTTGGGGTGCTGCCCAGGCCCCCCAGGAAGGGCGGCTGCCTCTCCAGTCTCCTCCATCCTGCCTAGGACTCAAGATTTCTGCAACATGGCAGGCAGAGAGGACAGGTGAGGTGATGGAGGTGGCCCCTACTGAATGTGGAACCTGGGGAAAGTCATTTCACCCCCGTGGGACTTAGCTACGATGCGTGTAAGATGGGGGTCAATCACACCTGCCTCAAAAGAGTCCGGGAGACACCACGTACCCACAGGGCCTAAAGTAAATGCAGCGCAGAGAAATCATTCCCTTCTCTCCCCTCTGACTTTCTTGGGTGCACACCCCGGACAGAAGCTCACATCATCTTCCACACCCACGACTACCGAAGAGTGAAAGAAAGGAGGCCGGGTTTTTAGAAGGGAGACCTGGCTTCTCGGCTCTGCTTTGACGCTTATTCTACCTTTAAGGTCCTGGGCAAGTTATCAAGCTCTCTTGGCCTCGGTTGCTGTATCTGTAAAATGGGACTATTAATGTCTCATTCACACACAGAGGGTGAGCTGGTGCAGGGACAAGAGCTGTGCAACCTCGGAAGCTGCCAGGCTGCATGGGTGGGCCGGTTTCCTCCCTGGTTCTGATGGGAAGGAGCTGCAGGAAGCTGGAGGAATTTAAATGGTCCCTAGTGCTCATCAAAGGCCAGCAGGGTGTCAGCAGAGGTTCTTCGCAGAACGCAAGCAAATACTTTCCCATATATATGGCATGAAGGAGTTGGGACAGTGCAGGCAGGTCATCTGGGGGTTCTGCTGGAGGGGTGCCTCTCTCCATTTCGGGGGGTCTAAAGGTGCCTGGAGTCCAGCTCTGGAGGACCTGCCAGCCAAGCTCTGTGCACACAGCAGAGTATCTGTCTCCTTCCAGGGGCTGCAGTGGGGGTGAGGTGGGATTATGACCTAATTACTCCCTATTGTTGAGGAAGCGAGGTACAGAGAGGGCAGGAGACAGCTCCTCAGAGAAGATGCCAGCTCCAGTAGCTGGGCCCTAAGACCTGGAATGCCTGGGGCTCAACAGAAAGCATCTTGCTTCCTCTCCCGACCTGCTGAGCAAACACATGTGGACGGCAGGTGCCTGGGACGGCAGGCCAAGCACAGCTTCTGCCCACCACTCCTGGGCCACCTGCCAGGCCAGCACTGGCCCAGGCTGAGCCCCAGTGACCTCCTGGCACCGGCTCAGCTCTGCTCTCTGAGCTGGCAGGCGAGATGGGCCAGGCAGGGAAGGTGCTTCCCTCGACCGACCGACCGCTCCAGGCAGGAGGCCCACGGCATGCACACAGTGGGGGGTGAATTTTAAGGAGCTCCGGTGTGGAGACCAGGAGCTGGGGAAGGAGTCACGTGAAGCCCACTAAGCCAGGAGATCTCAACCCAACACGCCAACACCAGGAAAGGAGTCAGGCAGCCTGGTCATGAGGTTATGAGCCTGGTCATAAAAGCCACGCCCCTTGTCCAGGTGGGACTTCCTCACAGATAACCAAAGGGTGTAGCCTGCAAAGGGCTGTGTGTGGTGGAAAAGAAGATGCTTTTTGCTGTCAGGTAGCCCTGGGGACAAAAGCTGGAGCTGCTCCCTGCCTCGCCTGTGCACCTGGTCATTTACTTGACATCTGAGATGAGTTCCTTCCTTTTTAAAATGGGGGGACAATTCCTCCCAAGAGGCCTTGCAGTGAGACTCAAGGAAGAACAGCCAAAAAGTGCCTGGCCCAGAGCAAGCACCCCAAAGCCAGGCCTGCTATCTGTCTAGCTCATCCACCATGAGCTCTTGGCCTGACTTCTGTCCTGGCCTTGGGGCTGCAACAGGCTTGCCTTGGGGCTGGTACACAAAGTACTCAGTAGCACTTCAGAGACTCACCAACCTTCAGCTTCTCACAGAAAACTCGGGCCTCAGCTACTCTAGCCCCAACAAGCACATGCACATTCTGGACAGTCAACCCCTCCCACTCTTTGCCTCACTCACTCTACGCATGTCCAGCAAATGGCTCCTACAGAAGACCCAGTACCTGGGGGGACAGTGGTGAGTGCAGCGGATGAGAGACACCCTGAGTAGGGGGAGCAGCACATGCCAGTCATGCGCACTAAGATGTATCCTTGTCAGATCACCCAGTCATTCCACTAGGGTGTGAGGTGCCAGGCGCATGCAGCACCTGCCAACCTCTGCTCATTGAATAGCTATGCTTGATATTCTCTTTGCATCTATCACAAATAAATAAATAAATAAATAAAAAGCTGTGTAACAACAGAACCCAGTGGCAGAAGCATTAAGTGTCTGAGAGTCTGGGTGGTCAGTAGGTGACCCAATCTCTCTGGCCAGCCAGGCTCACACCGAGGCCTGGGAGTTGACTGATGGTCCACTGGACTAGGGTGCTGGGCTCAGCGAGGACAACCAGAGCACTTCAGAATGTTCTACAGGTCTCCTGCAGCCAGAAGCTAGTCCTAAATTTCCTTCTCTGGGGACGGCAGAGGTTGAATAGTGCAGCCGGAAATGTTTCTTCTAAGTCCAGGCCACAGTGTCTGTAGCCAGCATCTCACTGGACAAAGCAGGCCATGTTATTGGATCCAACCTCAGAAAGAGTCAGAGGATGGGTGAAGAGTTGGCGTCTTTCACTTAACCCAGTTCACCACCTCGCTGTATGCAGAAGGGGTGGTACATATCACTGTGTAACTTACATAAAGTGACCAAGCTGAGTCTCGGTCAGGATTTGAACTCGGGCCATAGGGAACAGCCTAGGCCCTGTGGTTGGGGACAAAGGAGAGGCAGCGAGAGCCTGGAGCACCAACACAGTGACCGGTGCTAGCATTGGCCCTGCCAGGGGAGAGTAGCATGTCCTGGACACAGATGGCCTGGCGTAGGGAAAGACTAATCCCCTGCCCAAGAATGGACCTGGAGGCTGAGAGCTAACGCAGGCCCCAGCATGGAATGCTCTTCACCCAGAATAGAATGAGACCAAACAGCACAGAGCCAAGTGTCTGGATTCAACCAGCAGCCATACTGGGGCGGGGGGGGGGGGGGGTTGGGGGTGGGGAGTGGGTCTGAATTCAGCCCCACAGCAAGGAACGCAAGCCTCCTCCCTCTACTTCCAAGCTCCAAAAATCCAGGATAAAAGTCAAGCAAGGTGCTAATTGGTCTATATCACCCTCTCCCCTACCCCAAAATGTCCTGGTGCTCCTGGGGAAAGGATTGTGTGCAATAGCCACCTTTGCACAAGCCCTGCTCAGCTGTCTCTGCTGGGTTGCAAGTGGAAAAAAAAACCAAACAGGGCCCCGGGCTGATACCCAGCATCCGATTTGGTGGTTCTGGGCTGGGGCCCAGGAGCTGATAACTTTCATGGATGCCCCCAGGGAACTCTAATGCAGGTATTCCTCAGGCCACATTTTTAAAAATTATTTATTTATTTAATACCGTTGTGCATGTTTGTACAATGTTTGATTTCTCCTCGGGTCACATTTTACTCCATTCTTCTAGCTGGGCTCAAGGAACGAAGCTGAGAAATGGCTCCACGCCTGAGAGAGCGGGTGTGCCCAAAGCTGGAAAGCACTTGCACTCTAGTGGGAGATGAGCGCAAATAAAAGTGCATGCATGCACACACGAGCACACACAAGCAGACATGCACCCATGCACGCACACACTCCCACCCGTGCACAGAAAGAGGGACGGGGTGGTGAGAAGAGCAGCTCACACTCCTCACGCCATGCAGCAGTTTCAGCTCTGGCTCACATTACCGCATCGAAGCCTCACAGCAATGTCGTGTGCAGGGATATTCTGGTTGCCACTTTTCAGGTGAGAAATACGGGGCATGGAGAAGTTAGTGTCCAATGTCACAGAGCTAGAAAGCTGCGGAGTCCAGGTGTGTCTGCAGACTTCCTGCCCCCAAAGCCCCTCGCCCACTGCAGAGACGCAGAGACATTCACTGTGCCTGGAAGAGGGGCCAGAAACTCCAGTCTACTGCAGTGTCTTACAAAGGTGAGAGTCACTTTCTTGAACTTGCCTTGTGGTCCGGGAACCCTGGAGCAAAGCTGCTGATATCACCAGCTACTTTCTCTGATGCCTTTTTAATGGGAAAAGGCAGAGTCACTTCTTTTTTCTGCCCATCTCCTCTGCCAGCTTCCTCCACCCCACTGTCCAGTAGCCACCCAGCAGGCTGTCACGAGGAAGGAGGCCACCCCGCCTCTGGTCCCCACGGCCCTGCCGGGGCTGCACCCTGCCCTTCTGCAGATGGGAACTGAGGGCGCCTCAGAGAGGTGAAGGAGCTTGCCTGACGTCACACAGCCAGTCCAAGGTCCAGTTCTGGTTTTGACGTTCAGGCTTGTCTAATCTAGAGCCCAGGCTCTAATATGTGATTCATGAACCCCTGGCAAGACTCGGAGGTTTGAAGAAACCGCCGACACCACCAGGCTGCAAACTGTGATGACCCTCTGAGCTGGAGGGAAGACTTCCTGTGCAGTTATTAAAAGTATTGAAGGGGGTTGGGGCGGGGGGTGTACTGGGAACAGGAACTGCGCTGCTTCCCAGCAGAGGGGGCGCTGGGAGCCAAGGAGATGTGCTGTTCTCTGAGGCACATTCCAGGGCAGGGTCGGCCTGCTGCGGCCTCAGTGCCCGAACTGCGGGGAGGCCGGTCTGGACACTGGCTCTGCAGAGCGCTCGCTGGGGACGTGGCTTCTGAGGCTGGGGGCCAGGCCTCTGGCCAGCAGCTAAAAGGACCGACTCTGGCCAGCTTCCCTAAGGACAGAAGATGGAAAGATTTTTTCCTCCCCACTCCATGTTCCCTCAGCTTGGGAAAAACAACAGAAAGAAGGAAATGGGCCTCCCTGGCCCAACAGAGGCCACGATGAAAATTCACAGACCACAGAGGAAACCGAAAGAATGATTTCCAGTTTGGGCCTCAGCGAGCATCTCGGGGTGGACGCTGCACCATCTGTGCAGGGACAGCAGCATTCAGAGGGGGCGGGTGGGGCCAGGCCCCTGACCTCCCCATGGAAGGAAGAACACGGGCCTTAAGACAGGATCCCAGGCCATCGGGCCTCTCCACCCAGCGGGTCCGGTGGGATTGTGACTTTGGACTTGATTGTTTTGCTTAAGACACATTTTGCAACATGTCCCAGCCACCAGCCTCCCATCCCCACCATGACCCAATGTGAGATTGAAATGGCAAAGCCCTGTGCACATGTGAAATGTGTACACCAACCAACTACAGCAATCATGCTAAAGCTAATGCTGCCCAACCAGGGACAGAGGGCCAGTCCCCTCTGAAGAGTGGACAGACGGGAAGCCACAGGGGGAGGTGGAACAGCTTAGGGGGTGCAATGCCCCAGTCTCTATAGCCAAACTGCCTGGACCAAAAAATAAGCTCTCCTGCTAACTTGCTGTGTGATCTTGGCTAAATCACTAAACCTCTCTGGGCCCATTTTCTCCTTCATAAAAATAGAAGTACTGATAGTCTTAACCACAGAGCATTGTTGTAAGGATTTACTAATCTAATCTGTGGTGCTTGTAGTTAATAAGTGTCAGCTATTGTTATAAAATCTGTGAAAGTCAAACTGCATCATCAACAGTAAAAACACTATTTACCAAGGTTTGGGTCATCTTCCAACCCAATGTAAGCAGCCCCAACAAGTAAAAATGCCAAAAATATTTTTGGGCTGGGCCTCCCCAGTGGCGCAGGGGGTTATACACAGCACTGTGGAGCTATCTGCACTCTGCAGCATGAGTTTAATCCCCAGCCAGCCAGGGAGCTACCCACATGGTGCAGCAGACCTCTTCTGACTCACCCGCTGCTCCCCTCAGCAGTGTATTTCAGTCAGGCTGCCTGTTCTGCTCCCCACTCTGTCTCTGGTGAATCCTCTCACACATACCCCCACACACCTCTAGCCTGTACCCCAATTCTTATATGCATAAATAGATAAATCTTAAAAAAAAATATTTCTGGGCTATTTTGGGATCTTAGAGGCATCCATTTTAAAATAGTGCAAAAAGAACAAGAAGCATTTTAATGAACAACTGTGGGCAATAAGCCCAATATGGTGAGAAGCGCCCAAAGTTCCACGGCCTTCCTCCTCCAGCCCAACATCCGTGGTGAGGCTGCGGGATCAGCAGTGGGTGTCCCCCAACATCCACTGCATTATGCAAGGTGCTGCAGCAGGGACAGGCAGTCCTGTAGTCAGAAGTGTGGGTAGGTTCAGCAGGGTGTTTAGACTGGGGTTCACCACTGAACGCAAGGTGTCAGCCAGCTGCGCTCCCCCAAGGCGGCTGCCAGGAGGACCCTCCTCTAAGCACAGTCACTCACACATGGAAAGAACTCAGTTCCCTGCAGTTGGAGGATGAGGACCCATTTCTCTGCTAGCAGGCAGTTAGGGGTCACCTCTAGCAACTAGATGCTCCGTCCAGCACATTTCAGAGCAGAAGGGAGCTGCCTGCCCCGGGAAGGTAGCAGCCTGGTCTCCCTGGACCAGAGATTGCACTCAAACCACCCAGCCCTGGAGCTCTGGTCACTGTGTGGCCCGCAATGTGGGAAGTGCACAAGTGCAGGGCATGCCTCCCGGCAGCACGGACATGTATGTGAACATGTATGCGTAACAGCAGGAGGACTGAACAGCGCCGGAAGACATGCGCACTGGACGAGGTGGTGAGATCAGATCCAGCTGCAGAGGACCCCTTGGGTCACGATACATGGAGATGGGGCTGCGTGGACACCCATCTACTGCACACCCCAGCAGACATGCACTAGCTCTAGGACCTCGTGAAGGGGCCTGCCTGTGTCCAGGAGGGCCATTTCTGTGCTGTTTATGGAAACGTCTGGGTCTTGGGAATTCAGGTGGATATTTAAACTTTATCCCGTGCTCTTCCGAATTATTTAGTTTTTGTATTATTAGTAAGTATCCCTACCTGGGAGTGTCTGAGGCAGAAGTCAGTGAACCAGGACCTTCAGGTCAAAGCTGGCTGCCAGCTGCTTTTTTCCAGCCTAAGCTGAGCGTGGCTTTTACATTTTTAAATGGTGAGGGGAAAATCAGAAGGATGGCATCTTGGGACACAGGAGAATCTGTCCTTCAGGTTTGGGTGCAGAAAAAGAAAGGTTCAATGGCGCACAGCCATGCCCTCTTGTTAGGTCCGGCCCACACAGACCGTGGGGTCCCAGTGCCTGAAACATACTCTCTGGCCCTGCGCTCAGAAAGGCTCTGGCCTGGAGCTCGGCGGCACTTGCTCAGCTTCCCTCCACACCGACCCTGCTGTCTGTCTACGGAGCCTGTGCTTCTGAATTCACCTACTCCCCACAAGTCATCTGTCACCCCCGATTCGAGGCTGGTTCATGGTCTTTCTCGAACATTTGGTGGGAAAAAATTGAGTCTCCCAACACACACGCCCAGCCGAGGTCCAACCAAGCGCCAGGCGCTCCGGCTGCCCTTGCGCTCTCACACCATAAACTAGTGCCGTCCCGGGGTCTGCTCAGTGCCACACTGTCCTTGTGCTTGTGCTCTGCTAAGGAGTTGGCTGTCGAGACTGGTCTGGTGGTCCTAAGCATGAGGTGGCTGTGGGTGTCTGCAGAGAAAACCGGTATGTAGATAAGCACCCCTGGGCCCTTAGTTCTGGTGCCGTTGGCTGTGAACCGGCAGTGCACGTGAAACAAGGTGCCTCTGGGCAGGAACACACGCAGAACAAGGCCATGTGTGGGCCAGTGTGTGACGATGTGATCAGATGGCCCAAGAACCTCGCCTGCCTTTGTGCAGAGCCATGACTCTGAGCTCACTTAGACCGTATGGAGCATAACCATGCAAATGTGAGTCTCAACGAGATTGACTTTCAAATTCTCTCCACCCTCACCACCATCTCAGATCCCCATCAAGCCATGAGTTGCTCTGACAGGACTTGCTGGTAACACCTGTATCCTCAACACCCAGGGACCCCAGGCCCCACTCCCATCTTGCTGACCTCAGGGTGGGGACAGTACGCTGCAGAGCAGGAAGCTGGATGCCGACACCTCCAAGCATCGCCACCAGGATCGGCAGTATGGCCCCAAACCTCCCATCCTCTGTAGCCTCAGGATCCTCTTCTAGAGAATGAAGCTCAAACCAGTTCCGTCCCCGGCTGTTGAGGGATCCAGTGATCTGCCCCAAGTACACACTTGTCCTTGGCCCCAGTGAGCAACACAGACACTCTTACTGTTTGGGGATATTTCAAAGAAGAGGATCCTTTTCTTTTTCAGGAAACTTACCTAAGCTTAATCAGACTCCTTACCAAAAACCCCTTTCCACATGCTCAACAAAACCCCCGTGTCATTCTTAGGAGCAGCATCTGAGAAGGGCGGGAAGTAGCCACCCAGTCCAGCAGGAAGCCATCATGGGCTTGTCAGCTCATGGGTATTTCTTGGTAAAGACACACACAGGAAGGAGAGCAACTCGCCGCCAGCATCTCGATCCCAGTGTCAAACATGACATCCATTTAGAAGTTTCCAAATTAGCTGGTGAAGCAAACAAAAAACTGAATTACACACAAAAAACTGAATCACCCTGTAGATGACACAACATTAGACAAGAGCATAAAGGGAAAATCCCACAGATAGCAAAGGACAGGGCTGTGGTTCACACCATTTGAGGGTGTGGTCAGAAGCCCAACCTCACACATCTTCATGCCACACTTTCGGGGTATTGAAGGCACCAGTGCCTGATGAAAGCCCATGGGCCCTGCCAGAGCTCAGAGCTGGCCTTGGAGGTGGTACCCAGCAGGGATGGCCGTGTCAGATCCTTGCCTCTACGATATGCCCAGTTCTCACCAGAAAATGCAAGTGAGGTGACACAGGCCACGCCCTGCACAGTTTAAAATGTGGGCACGAACCCCAACCTGCCACCCCTGTGCCAGCTGGATGGACTTCCAGGTCCTTCACGGGGAGGGTGGTGAGCAAACAGCACAGAGGAGACCTGGGTCTCCCAGGCATGCAGGAAGGAATGACAGACCCTCCTTGGGCCGCTAAGAAACAGGCATCTTTTGTCTTGCGCTACTGACCCACTGGGGTTCGCTTGTCACAGCACCTAGAGTTACTCTGACTACAAAGTCCCACATTTTTTTTTTTCTTTTCTTAATTAGATGTGGAGCCTGAGGCTTCAAGGAGAAGATTAAAGCGACAGGGTGAGTCAGGTGTGAACGGTGCCCAGGTCCTTGGCAAGTTCCTAAGTCAGTGCCACTGCCAGGCTGGCGGAGAGGCCAGATGATGGGGATTCTGGGGGAAGTACTCAGAAAAGTACAAGGAAATAACCAAGACGCATTTACCATCAGCTTTGCCCTACATGTTCCCTTACCTTGACCAGGTTCTGTCCATCCAGAATTTCATTTTCATGGGTAAGAGAAAGTGGCTGTGGGCACAGACACCCTGACCATGTGCTAAGCTGGCACCTAACTGTGCAGGGAGTAAGAAGCCCAGCCCCGCCCTGCTGGGCACCCGCCTGTGCTGATCACCAGCATCACCCACGGCAGGCAGGGTCAGGCTACTTCACAGAAGTCACAGTTACCAGAAATGAGAATGGCTTTGACAGTGGGGCCAGACGTGCAGGGGGCTCCTCAAGGCCCTCACTTCCCTGCTTGTTATTAGTCAGCATTTAGCAGTGAGGACACTAAAAAGGCATCACATCCCAGAGAGCACCAATGAAGCACCAACCCTTCTTAGGGTCCTAGAACATCCTCCCTGGTTGACAGCTCCCTGGGTTTTCCACGCACACCTACTATGTGCCAGGCAGTACTGCAGAAATCAGGGTGGTGGGGAATACAGCAACAAAAGAGCCACACTTTCAAATGCCCACAACCCTCAGCCTCTTACTCTTCACCAACAGCCCTCCTGGCGGCCAGCATGGCCCACACCCACATGTGCCGAGACGACGCCTTCCCAGCAGACTGTGGGTGTTTCTGTGAAGGTCTCCTCATCTGTGTGACCCTAGCATAACCTCAGGTTATGCACCACACTGTCACCTACACTCTCAGTATGTTCTCTTGAACTGAATAGAGTCAAATGATGGAAGCACACTGGACATACAAGCATGAACAGAATGCATTTGCCAGGCCCAAGGCAGTGACCGTAGATTAATGCCAAGAGTGAGTAGGGACACTATTGCTGTATGTCCATGGCCATCCAGCGAGTAAGATGAAGGAATAATGCGGGAAAAGCAATGCACTCGGCAGGTGCAGTCTTCCCTCAACTACTAGGCACAGAGTCGGGCGACAGCACCCAACAGACCTCGCCAGAACATCCCTGGGGTCACTTACATCTCCTGCTTTGATGGCCTCTGTCAAAGACCAAGTCCCCCCAGGGGAGTGGGCGCTACAGCTTGTCCATTTCTCAGCACCCAGCAAGGGCTCAACGCACACTTGTGGAATGGACAGGTCAGGGCAGAGACACAAAGCCCACCCTAACTCCACGGAGACACGGGCTTGCCTATGATGTGCTCGCGAAGAAGCAGGTCTTCTGCCGCCAAGGAAACAGGAACTATATTAAACACACGCATATTGCAGTTCCTGCTCTCCTCACGGAGCCCTGGCCATCCACCCGCCTGGCGCCTGCACACAGCAGCCGCCCAGGGAAAGCAAAGTTATACACACACACACACCCCACCCCGCACAGGGATGGGGGTAGGGAAGGGCAGCCACCCCAGCCAAGGTCACACGCCGGTCAGCACGAGAGTGGGGATGTGGCCCCACCTGGCATCCCACTGAGCAGGACCTCAGATCGCAAAAACTTTTTGCGAGGTCCTCTTGCAAGTAGATCTTATTCAGACGCTGGGTACCCACGATGCCTGCCAAGCCTGTTATGTATGCTGACAAACCGAGGTGAATCACTTGCCCTCAAAGCACAGTCTAAAGAAAGTCGCTTCCACATGTGTACCCTAAGACAGAGTAGGCCACAAGCTACAGACAGGAAGCCCATGAATGGGGTCAGAGGCCAGAGCACTGAGAACCTGCACCTGCTGTGTGACTTGACTCCCGGGCAGGATCACAAAGTTCGCCTTCGTTCACGCCCCGGTTTTCTCAGTCCCGGGCCCCAGCTCCCAGCTGCTGAGTCGTTGTGAGCAGGTAAACCGGTAGCACTTTGGGCACAGAAGTTAAGACCCTTCAAGGCGGGGCAGGTCACACAAGACGGCTCCCTCACCTGAGCACTCACTCCAAGATGGCATTTCATCAGGGAAGACCCCTCCGCGAAGGGCTTTATGGTGGGGTCACTGAGGAGCACGTGTTAAAGGCGGCCGTGTGCCTGCCTACAGGCTGGGGACCCGCACTCTGATTATGACGGACAGCCCGAGTCCTGAGGGCTGAGCCAGGAGGCCACTGGACATGGTCTTGTGCAGACAGGAGGCAGCCAGGCCTGCGGTGGCCTGGGTGCCAGGACTCACCCCCAACCCCAGGTCTGGATGTCAGGGTAAGTTTTGCAAAAATTGAATTTGGCAAGGAGTCCGGCTGCTGCATTGCTGTCCACTTTACTGCTGGCCCTGGTCTGGGCCTGCTACCCTCACATTAGCCAGAGTGGGATGAAAGATCAAGGCATTTTAGTTCCTAAGATAAATGCAGCAATTTGGAGAAGCAACATGTTAAAATTGGATTCCAATGGTCACTGGGACATTGTTGCATTCACTGACCAGGAGTTGCCAGGAGGGCCTGGAGGTGGAAGCCTGAGGCAGGGCTAGGACCTGCAGGCCACCTGAGCCTCGGGGAGCTGGCAGGCCACCGAGCCGCCACTGGAGGCAAATGGAACAGCACTCGCTCGGCCAAACTGCAACTCCTGGTTTGGGGTTCCTGGGGCTGTATCTCAACACTTAGCAAGAGATTCTTGCCATTTGGGCTTGAGATCAGCGATCACTTGCATTTTTTATCATCAGTTGACTTCCCAGAAATCATGCTGTATGAGCATCATCTTCCTCAAATGTATTTCCGATGTTAGAATCTTATTGATCAGAAATTTAGAAAGATTGGGCACCAAATATCATGCACAGTATATGCATATTATTAGTATAAATTTATACTATAAGTTTATATTAACAGAATGCTGATATTACTTTAATATCAAAATATCCTAACATATATATGTTATGTATTTTAGCACATTAAGCTATTTTTTGTTAATATTACTCTAAAATGACGACACTTACATTCTAGGCTTACTATGATCACCACCACTGTAATTGTTAGTAGGAATCCACCCATGGAGACACCATCCCAAAACAAGGGAGAAGTATGAGGGAAATTGGAGGTGATATTTTGGAACTACAAGGAAGCAGCAGAAAACACACAGAAGTCATTCTGGACAAATGAACCCCCAAAGGAGTAAGAATAAGCAAGAGGAGAGGGTGGTTCTTCAAGACTCCATGAACATGCCAGGGCCTGTGGGCTCACATGGATTTGTGTCAGTTCCTCACTCATAACTTGGAAGAATGTGATCCGTGACCCGAGGTGGGGAGGTTACATGAGTCAGCATTTGTCAAGGCACACAGTAGGGCTTCAAGAGATTTTACTTTCATGCTTGCATCTCTCCTCGAGTCCAGCAGTGTGCCTGAAATGGGATAACAACATTATACATGAAATAAATCGCCTATGTGAAATTCAGCCTAGTGGTCACTGGGAGTTCTGGGAGGGCAGGACGCTGGCTCACGCCAAGCTGGGTTGAAGACATCCAGCACCGCTGGAGGAATCGGGGCTCCTGAAAGGAACGGAGAGGGTGACTAAACTTAAGAAATTTCTAATTCAAAATATTTACACATATATCACTCAAATTACATGTATATTACTCAGGGGAGCCCCAAAGGAGGTACATCAGGGATAGTTCTCCATGAGCTTTCAAGGGAGAACCACCACCATCTTCCTCGCTTCACGGGGAGACCAGCACGCTGGTGTCCTTGCTACCCAGGGTGGACTGCAGGGCTTTCCACAACTGGTGGACTTTGACCAGAGGTGAGAAAGCAGACCTAGAGGGGAAAACCTGGCTTTTACTTGGCCCTGCCTGTGCAGGCACATGCGATGCAAACTGAATCATGTGGAGCCGCATGGAAATGAAACACACATGTAGAAAGGCTCCCAAACACACACACACCATGCAATCATGTTCTCATTAATATTAGAAAATGTTCTTTGTTAAAAAGGGAAAAAAGGGCCTCCCTGGTGGTGCAGGTGGTTGAGCGCAGCGCTGTGAAGCAATCTGCAGCCTCTGCAGCGCGAGTTCAATCCCTGGCAGGCCTGGGAGATGCCCACATGGCGAGGCAGACCCCTCCAGTCTTGCCCACTGCTCCCCTCAGCAGTGTGTTTCAGACAGTCTGCCTGTTCTGTTCCCCGCTGTCTCTGGTGAGTCTTGTCACCCTCCCGTGTATTAGGCCTGCACCCCGGCTCTTGTATAAATAGATCTTTTGGAAAAAGAAAGAAAAAACCACAAGGTCAATGAAGCTCCCGCTCTCTCACACCTTCTAATCACATTTCCCAGAAATGTCCTTT